GTATATATATATATTCAATGCTGAAGGCACATTTTAGTTTTCTTTGTTTTTTCATGGTTTTGAAATGTGTTGTCAAAACTGATTTTTAACCAATAAAAATGTATTGCACTACATAATTAGTGATTTAGAACTGTTTTCTTGAAAATAAATAAAAGCTGAACTGCAGACCTTTTGGAGATGGGAATGACAATGCGAGCTTTTCTGGATGTTGTTCAAAAATTAATACTCAGAATAGTATTATGAAGTAAATGGGTTTACAGATTCCACTATAAAACATAACTATTGCTTGTCAACACAGATGATGAGTACGTTCTGCTGAGGCTCACTTTTATAGCAAGGCCATTTATCTTTCCACATGACATCTTGTTCGAATCTGATATCGATATGTTACTTTCGAGTTACATCAACAAGCATTTGTAACAAGATGGTAGATCTTCTGTCACTGTGTGCAGTTAACCTTTGGGAATCTTACAATTATTAAAATACTTAGCAACTGCTGTACTATTAACTTTTTAAAAGCAGCAGCCTATTTCCCAAAAGCTTTTACTGTAGCTGGACACTTTTTCTTGGGTAGTTTGCAGCTTCAGATCAATACACTTTTAAAAGTAGCTTCACCAACACTGAAAACATGTCAGTTCAAAGAGGAGTTTTATTATTAGAATGATATTCACATCTTGATCATTTCTGTCATCAATCCCTGAACAAAAGTACTTAAGGTAAATAAAAATACAAACAACATTTGACAAATAATATATATCCATATACAGATAAAGAGCGTTTATTATATACTATATAAATTTATGGACATACAAATGCAGTGTAAAAATAAGGTTTGTAAGGATACTGTGTCACTTGTGTTAAAACTTTTTGTATGTTATGACTGACTGTTAAAACATCCTGAAGTGGTTAGTCTAGTCTTTTTAACGGATTGATGTGGAACAGGTGAAATCTGCTCATGTGTAGAAACATTTAATGCAGCATCCACAGAATGTGTAAATGGCAACTGCTTTTAAGTTCTTAACTTTCACAATTGATCTTTTCTAAAATTTTATCAAAGACATTCCACTTTTTTGTGTGTATACAGCCGTTTCATATTTAGTGTAAACGGCAACAATCTATGCTGTGCAATTCTGGTATGTAGTGTAAGCACTGTGGACTCTGGCTTTTAAACTATGATACTGTATTTACCCCTCTTATCATGCCAGCAATCGGACAGAAAAATGCATTATTAACTAGAGTGTGATGTTTCTTGAAAAGAGCAGGAATGCAAAAATTACATTGTGTTGCAGCTGGTACATCCTTTTTTTTCTCCCCATAGCTTGAGCTTTTAAAATATTTTAATGACTAATTGTTCTAATTCTATTAGAGGAATGCCTAAGAAGCGTTTAATGGTTAGATTAATGAGTGCCCATCCCAAACCTCTGGAGGTTTATGAGTATTATAGAATAATGATCCTAGCATTATAATATTGCATGGAATTTAAGTAAAAATATTCCAGTGAAGAACTACATTTTCAACATTCTAAGATTCATAAATGTAGCATCTATAACCCTATGATTCATATTGCAGGCCTGTGTTGGATAGTAAAAAATATACATCCATTACATTTGAACAGTTTGATCAAACAACACTTTTTTGTAAGATGTGTAAAGAAACTGTCCTTGCACTAAAAAAGGAAGAAAGCCCCATCAGCATCTTTTAAGACCTGTATGCCATGGTTCTCACAACATTGGTAGTTTGTGTTTTAGGAAAGAACTCGCACAGTAGGAGTATTAGTTAGACTTCATTGCCCATGAGCAGAATAAACAGGTTTAACACATCTAACTTCAGACTATTAAGCATTCTCCACTATGCTCTTCAATTTTGTAAACTATGATTTCTTATTTTTAATTTTCATGTACTGCATGTCCCTTGAGAACTTTCTCTAAATTAATGTTTATAAATATATATATATAACACGTCTGTGGGAGAATGATACCACATCACTCCTGCAGATTACCAGACATTGGTAAGTTCTATGCCAGAGTGCATACAGTATAGGCCGCCCATAATGGCTAAGTACCTTACTAAGTGACTTAAGCCCATTACTTTATAAATTATAGTTTTAAGTTACTTTTCCTCCCCAGAGTTTTGCTTTTGCCTAAGAGGAGGGCTATTATAGCTTTAAAAAAAAAAGACGACAAGCAAGGATGATATTTCAGGATTAGCGATGCAAATGTCATTTTCAACTCGAAAGTTAGATTTCAAATTTAGAACGTTTGTTTTAAAACGTTGCGTAAGGAATGTACTTATTCAAGCGTCCAAGAGGTGGCAGTATAATCTGAGAAGTTTTTTGCTGATGAGTTGCTGCAGTGATTCTGTACAATTAGGTAGGTACAATTACCCAATTTTCCATCGTTTCCATGCCTCTTGAATAACTGTATCTTTTAGGTATCTAAAATGTCATGTGCACAGCCAAGCCATTTCCTCTCTGCTTAAAAGTTGATCGCCGCAAATTGCCTCCGGCGGTGGTCAGACTCACGCAGCGATCTCAGAGTTCATTCTGCCTTCCATCTCCGCGGTGCTTCCGGTTAAGCCTGCTGCCTTCAAAAGCTCAGGAATGCTTCCTTCCACAGTGCGGCTCCTACAGCTTACTGTGAGTGCCCACCGCTTTGACTCGGAATACGCCCTCCTGCGCACAGGAAGCTGCCAGGACCCCATCTCGCCTCCACAGCCGGCCGTGCACCAGCCCCCTGCTCCCACCTGCACGACAGCGGCGCCACAGCCATCAGCACCAGGAGACAAACCGTCACTCACGGAGACCTGTGGCTTCCAGGCCTTCTGCTGTGCAAATAAACCCTCAGCCAGGAAAACCCATTTCACAACAAACACGTGATACCAGACACAACATACTCAGACGTTACGCCCATCCAGTTTGCACAGCCAGGAAACGAAAAGGTCTAGCTCAAATAGATGATCTTAGGAGCTACAACACTCAAGAGGAGGAAGGAAAACCTGTGGCACTTCTAAGAAGGAGATCTAGCAACCTTGAGAAACTTCAGCAACTCTTGGGTGGGTAAAGTGCTTTTGTTTGTACTTCTGCACTTCTTTCAAAAACCTAAAAAACAAGCGTCATTCAAACGGGGCAAAAGCCTGTTTACTCAAAGGCTACAGTAATTCGCAGAGGTTAAAGGCCTCACCTGCCCAGGGGCTCTCGCACTCGTACAGCATCCACTGGTCGGCGCGGAAGGGGTTGTGAAACCACATGGCGTGGTCCAGGGAGGCGGAGAAGCGGACCCTCTGGTTTGGGTAGGGCAGCAGCGCTGTGCCCAGGAAGGAGTAATCTGACACATAGGCTGCCACGCAGCAGTGCAGCTTCATGTCATCCTCGCCTGAAACAGCAGCACAGTTCGACAGGCATTACTCTTATTACTCTAGATCGAAACCGCAAAGGACAGGGGAACCTACACACCACACGGACAGCTGGCTGACAAAAATAAAGGTGTCGAGAATTTCCCTCCGTTAGCACAATGCTGAAATCCACTTGTAGTAATAATGAACATCAGAATCTTATGTGCAACAGATTTGTTGGACTATCAACTCAGCTTATCCAAGCATTCCATTTTTAAAGGTTTGTTTTATTCAAGGATTCTTGTTCTTCTGAAAAGCTCCAGTTCATTAAAATGCATGTGATAGATCATCACCTGTTATGCGTAATTGCTGAAAATGTGTTTCAGGCATTTTGCAGTCCTTACCAATATATCCTCGTGCTCGAACCCAGAAGAGGTTTTTTGGCTCCATTGCAACTCGGTGAAAGACATCAGGAGGGTTCACTGGCTTGATCTCAATCGGCACTTCCTCAGCCAGAAAGTTATTAAGGCCCTGCTTGGACCTTTCTGCCAGATTTGGATCACTGAAAGTTAAAAATCATTAAAATATATCTATAGAGTTGAAGAAACAAGTATTCATATCCCATTTCCTAAAAGAGTTAATTCATATGAGATCCTAACCACAACTTGCCAGGATGAATGAGTGTCTTGTGAGGTGAAATATTACCATCACGAATGTATAGCTGTACAAACACTGTTATGTTAATAAAAGCTCAACTTTTTTGATCATGGAGGGCACCATTAATGGTCTATGACTCTGTAAACCATCAATCAATGTTCAAGTCTAAAAGGCATACCTGTTATATTACTGGAAAGATGCAGAGTATTGGTGCTTAAGAGAAATAATTGTTCAACAAAATCTGAGAGGGTGCAGTTCTCTGTAGCACCACCTGTTGCTTAATGCAAAGTAGTAGCTCACAGTAGGGACAAATCAAGCCTGTAGGGGTGTCACCCTGGTGTCCTGGCCAAATTATGTCCTCCTAATAATCTAATAATCCCCATCTCTTCACTGAGAGCTGGTGTGTGGTGATAGCACACTGGTGCAGTATGGCTGCCGTCACATCATCCAGGTGCGACTGCACAGTGGTGGTGGTTTAGGGGAGTCCCCATTACCTGTGAAGCACTTTGAGTGGAGTCTCCAGAAAAGCACTACTGTATATGAGCGTAAGGAATTGTTTTTTATTACTACTTTGGAGTGTCGGTACTCAGGCGTACCAAGAAGCAGATGTGAGCTATCTGAATCCATCACAGTACATGTGCTTGATCATGCTTGTGTCTGATCACGGGCCTGGTCGTGACAGACACGCGATGCACTCCAAATTGCTCGAGTTTGGAGAATCCGTGCGCTTCTTGCCACGCCTGCTTGTGCTCATTCTTTACAGAGGCATGCCTCCACCACGACCGAGGGGGGGGGCAGAGTCCGCGAGTACCTCAGGTATTTCTGAGCGAGCTCCTCGGCAGTCAGCAGTTCTTCTGGCGGAGGTACAGCAGGCATAGTGAACTGATGCTGCACAGGACTTGGCTGGAACATCTGGAACGAGGCCTGAAAGATGAGAATGGGCTTTCCATGCTGGATGGCCTTCACAGACCGCACAGAGAAGCTCCGCCCGTCCCGCGTCCTGTCCACCTGATACAGCACTGGCAGCTTCGGGTCTCCTGTGAACACAAGGGCAACAGGGAACGTTCGGGTAAGTGGGTTGTGCTCCATGGTGTGCCACAAACCCCACCTGCAGGCAAACACATTCATTTCATTCTGGACTGTATTTCACTTGCCATACGAGTACTGTATGATGTTACTGGAATAAACCAAGAACACTTATGTTTACTGCACAAGTTGCATTGGACACAATCTGGAATAACAACTGCTACTGCTTAGCATTCCTCCAAGGAGGAGGGGGAGGAGGTAAAATATAGAGAAAAGGTCTGCTTTTTGTGTACCGTATTACTGCTGTAAGCAACACAGAAACAGGAAAACTTCAGGTGCAAGAATATTCCCATTTTAGCTCTAAAGCTGTGGTACTTCACCTGTCTCGGGGTGCCTGAAACCCACATTTTTACGGCGAACAGGAGCACCTGCAAAGTGCCCAGGTGCACAGATGTGGGTTGTGGCATTCAGCTGTGACTGTGCACTATAGCCAACAGAAGAAGGCTAACAGTGGTTCAGGCTGCCAAGGTTTTTGGCAAAGTACTGTGCTCCCCTATGGAGCTGTTACTATTTTGGTTTTTTAAATAAGATTTTTTTCCATTATCTGGAATGCAACACGTTTTTACTATGATAAGCAACTTTATAATGATCATAGTAGTTGAGGTTTATTGCAGTTCCCTGCAATAAACGCAGTTACACAATACACACTTGGAAAATGTTCTGACTATCCAGCTAGCTTCAAGGTCAGCAATACTAGTTATTGAAAGCAAAGCACCAGATGCATCCCAACAGAACTCTTACCTGCTCTTACGAAGTAGCAGTGGAGGGAATGGGCAAAGACGTTCTCGTTAACCGACTTGGCCGCTGCTACCAGCGCCTGTCCAATAATCTGACCCCCAAAAAGCCGCTGGGTCCGGGGCACCCAATGGTGTTCCCCCCTGAGGAAAACAGGACGTTGACATAAGACGACAACGACAACAGCAATTATACGTGCGGTAAAATGTAATCATTGAATGCATAGGAAAGCAGAGTAAACTAGAGTTCAATCTTTGACCGTAACATCGAGTTTGCTTATTCGGTAAACTTCCCACGTAAACAAACATTTTTAGGACCGGTCTAACTTTCTGGAGCGAGAACGGTAACCAGTGTCGATGCTCGGCTACTGCACCTGTACAGGTCTGAATCGAGTTTCTCCAGGTTCAAAACACTTGTGACTAAGACGCTGCGGAGGTCCCGCTTCTCATCGCGGTGGTCACCCTTCCTGTTGTCTTCGAGATCGCTCCCTGTAACAGATGCGCCCTGCGCAGGCGAGGACACGGCGGAGCTGTTTCGTCTCCCTTCCTCGCTGCCCTCACTCCGCTCAGCCGGAGCCATATTGACACACAGCCGGTATCGCATGGGTCACGTGCAGACGCGAACGTCACTGCTTCCGATGGTCACGTGCTCCGAGTCGTTGCGCTCAGATTCATTTCATTGCAAACGGCGTTAGTTGCTGCTGCCTCCATAACATTGAAAGGTTTTTCCAGTGTTAATTGTATTCTAGCAACATAGCACATTAAAAATAAGATGCCAGTTACAGGGGGGGTATAAATCCAACTCTCCGCGTTGACTGCCTCAAAGGAAATAAAAATCAGACTGGCGAAAAATAGTATTAGTTTATCTTGAGTTATATTTTATTCACTGTTACATTGCACCGCGAAAATTCAGCCCATAGTGGTTTAAGCAGTTAATCCAAGACTTCCTGTATATTCGTGGATTTAGCTGAACATTCTATTCCGAGATAGATCTGAGAGATCTAGAGAGGATCATCTGTATGGTATCAGAATTCTAATAAGATAGAAAGAGGAAAAGGGCGTTTTATTAAACTTGTCAGTATTCTGACAACGGCTATAAACCATAAGAACTGCACATACGAATGTCTTTTTTTATTTTAACAAAAGATAAGGTGACACGTAAAAAATACATCTTAAAGGCTACAAGCATCTGAGATAATGCATGTATTTAGATTGATAACTGCTTCAAGATAGAAACTCCTGATGAAGAGGACTGAAATTATCTCACGTGTCTCAACCCCATCCCTGTGCTCTTTCCACAAGCCTTCCTATTTGTGAGTGGAGAATAGTTCAAAGTTATCACATTTAAATCAAATGATGTCAAGTTCAAATAATGCAATACGCTACTAGGACCTCATTAAGAATACTGTGTCCAATTTCGTTAAGCACATTACAGAAGGATATTGTTGTACTACTCTGGTATCAGTCCACTGAAGTTCAACTAAGTACAAACCCGCTCTTAGTATATATTATGCTACTTTAATGAAGCATTACATTTGCTGTAGACCCTTGCGTAAGATTTAGTGCGATGGAATTGACTATATTCCTTGATTTAACATGAATCGGTGATTAATTATGGTTGTTGCAGCAACAAATTATTCTCATAGACAAAAGTTCACATCCGTAATTAAATCATACATTACGTTAACAAAGTTTTATATCGTAAATATTTAATTAAATAGCAACGCTATGTATAACTTCAAAACATGCTGTTACATTCAGGTGACACTGAGCGTATCTAAATGCAACACAAAATGAATAATATTGGAGATGTTTCAATTCAAAATTCCATAGGTCGTGAATACATTGCATGCTCTCTGTCCCTTCACTTTACAAATTTGCACGAACCCTTCAAATCCCATCGAAACTCTCCAATCTGTGTTGTAAAGCAAGCTGCGCACAAAGAAGCGGATAGGCGCCGGGACCCTGAAGGCAGACTCTCTCTATCCCTCCTTCTCGCTCTCCCTCTCCCGCTTAAGTCCTCTCTCAACTGGAGAAATCCCAGGGATTGAAGCGAAGTGGAGGAAGAAATGAAGGCTTCGGAGATGTACGTCTTCGTCGTAGTTCTGCTCGCTTTTTGCGAATGGACGACGGCGACTCCCGCTGCAGGAAGGAATTCTACAGGTGAGCGTTTTTTTGGTGTATTCGTTTCGTTTGGGAGATATAACATCCCAGTGAACTGGGCAAACACTTTATAACATGGTGTTCTTCATTGCTTTATGATATTGCTTTTAGTTAATCGGTATTCTTAACATATTAGAACTTTTGTGTGACAGAAAGAAAGGGAAAGAAAAACACTGAAGTAAATATTAACATTGAAACTATGTTTAAGTAGCGACAATATTCAATGCAAGTGTATGTCCTCTGATTTTTTCGCCGTTTCGGTTGTTGGTCTTAGTGCTTAGGTTTGGCAACAAGCACGAAAGCACGAAATCTGGCCCGCTGACCAAACCTCAGAAATTTGAAAGTTTAATTGAATCGCCATGTCTGAGAAATAAACAGAGCTCGCTCTTCACCGAGTGCCCACAACTCGAACATGTAGTGATTAGGAACAAGTAATCGGTGTATTCCGTGCTGGAAAGAGAAGAAAGGAAACACAACGTTTCGGCTGTGGAGCCTTCTTCTTCACCCGATTACTTCCTCGCCCGAAGAAGGCTCCACAGCCGAAACGTTGTGTTTCCTTTCTTCTCTTTCCAGCCGGGAATAAACCGATTACTTGTTCCTTTGCAGCCTACGCATGCTGATGGATGATTTTAGTCTGTCAGAATAGTACATTTCTTTAAGCCTGGGTATGTTTTTTGGTTGCTGTAGACAGATCGCTGAGCAACAATAGATTTTTATATAGCAGTGACCAAACCTTTACACCGTATTCTACATGAAGTCTTACTGCATTGTAATATTTTAACATAAAATCAATTGATTGAAATTCTACGCCTTTAACTATACCCATATCGGAACTGTTATCGCTGTTATTGCTCGGCCACGTTATAAATAATGTCAACATTAGTTAAGTCTGTTTCTTTATAAAACGAAATCTGAAATGAGAAAGCATTAATACTGTAATAAGCATCACATGGACTCCTGTTATTAATAAAGCATACTTTTCTGTACGGGACGCTAGTCAACATTCCCTCGTAAACATCACGGCCACTTGTGTGCTTCACAGGAATATCCTCAGAGTTGGTAAAATGACCGGTTACAAAGCAGCATCTTACTGCACTGATATAGATGGGTTTACAGATAACAGATGTTTAACGTGTAATTGGCTGTTGTGTAGCCTTCGTTGCAAAATCGCAAAATCTGTTCCGTACGCTGTGGCAGTTTATTTGATTTTAGCTCTTCTCAGTTGCGATACTGATCTATTGTGTAGCAGAGTGAAGCCGGCGAACCGGCTGCTTGATTGTGCTGTGCAGGAGGGACTGCTGACAGCTTTGCCTTCCGCCCTACAGTGGTCAAGCCGGGGCACTGCCCTCGCCGGCTGCAGGTCTTGCCCTCGAAGCGGGCGTGCGAGTGTGACGAGGACTGCCCCGGGGACCACAAGTGCTGCGTCTTCGACTGCGGGGCGGTGTGTGTCCCGCCCGCTTTCAGTAAGGGCTTTTCCTTCGCGCACACACGCCGGGGACACCGGGGGGGGGGGGACGAGTTTAATTCTTCGCGAGTGTTTCTTTGAACCATTTGTGAAGAACAACAACAACAAAAAATATGCTTGCTTTTGCCTATTTTTTGGGTGTTTTTTTGTTTTCGTGTCGCTTTCCCATCTCCGTGTCCTGCCTCCAAAAATACAGTGCCATCCACAAGCCCTGGCCTGAATCTTCCTTTGTTCTTTTTGAAGCCAAGCCGGGAATCTGCCCTCGGAGGAGGCGAGGCTCTGGGATGTGTGCGGAGTTCTGCGTTAACGACAGCGACTGCACCGGCGACGAGAAATGCTGCAGTAACGGGTGTGGGCATGAATGCACAGCCCCATACACAGGTAGCGACTTCGGGCGATGGGGATGATTTATGGTTTGTTGGTTTGATTTCGAATCCAACCACTGGGCTGTTGTGGGTTACAACGAAATCTTCTTTGCCCATTGCTTTACAAAAACGGCGACAGTCATTTTGCAAAAACAACAACAACAACAGCAACAACAGCAGCAACAACAAATCCTCACACCGACCCCTGTAATAAAATGAATTGAAGTTCACCGCAGGCTGCCCGTAAGGGATGAACGCCGCCAGAGGAAAGTCATATTTTAAAGGCATGTTTTAGTATTGCAAAGGAACAAGTAATAGGTTTATTCCATGCTGAAAAAAAAAGAAAGAAAACAACGTTTCGGCCGTGGAGCCTTCTTCAGGTGTGAAGGCTCCACGGCCGAAACGTTGCGTTTTCTTTCTTCTTTTTTTTCAGCATGGAATAAACCTTTTACTTGTTCCTTTGCAGCCTACGCATGCCGATGCAGCTACCCACCTGAACTAATGTTTTAGTATTCGGCTTAAAAACGTGTACTTCCCATCTCGGTCCAGACGCCTGCCTGACGTTCAACTAAAGCGAATATTTCTCTACCGAATGACTTCAATCTGTGCGAACAGATGTTGGAAAGCGCTGGTTTCGCGATGTCGTCGCCTGGTGCCTTGCCGGCGCTGTAACCCTCCTCCCCTCCTTCCGTTGTCTCTGCAGTGAAGCCGGGCCGGTGCACACGCCCCAAGGGGACCCCCATGTGCGCCGAGTTCTGTTACCATGACGGCCAGTGTCCCGCGGAACAGAAGTGTTGCCGGACCACCTGCGGCCATGCCTGCAGTGAGCCCTGCTGACGAGGGACAGAGACAGCCTGGACACAGGCTGCTTGTTATACTTGAACCCTCGGGTTTTTTTTTCCCAGTACGACACAATATTCCTTCCATGTGTGCAATCTCTTTTTGTTCTTTTTGGTGCCAGAGTATGTTTTTGTTTTTGTATCCACTCCAATAAAACGGCCTGGTTAGCCTTAAGTACCGTTCTGCTTCTGATTTTGCGTGCGGGAACACACACGCTGCCCGTCGATCCCCTTTTTTAACCTCTTCATCCAATTCAGGCACACTCGCACCTAGAATCCAATTAAAAGGGGAGCAGCCAGAGGAAACCCACACAAATGCAGGAAGAACATGCAAACTCCACACAGCAGGTCCACACCCCAGGTCCAGAATTGAACCCAGGACCCCAGTTCTGTGAGGGAGCAATGCTCACATGCTGTCTGATCACTTTCGTACTCAAAACGTCACCCTTGCACACTCTGACTGGTGGGGCTTTAGGGGTATCAAAGGAAGTAGTTCCCCAGCTTTCTCCACCCACACAAAGCCCAAGTGTTTTCTTAAGTGTCTAGACCCCAGCTCAGCGCCATTTTTGCAAGCATTCCCAGCCGTGAGTGGCGAAGTTGGCAGAACTTTGCAAGTTGGAGTCTTGGAATGCAAAATGTTTTTTTTTCCCCCACACTGGGACTCCAAAGACACGCTGTAAACTCAAAACTCACAACTCACGATGAATAAAGCCTCTGTCTGCAAGAATCCCTTAGTACCTGGCAGTAGGAAAGCTCAGCTGGTTTTGGTCAAAAAGAGCTCCTTTCTACATAGAGGGTTGGCATGGAGAGAGGAAAGGCAAACAAGAACTACTGCAAACAGTATTAAAATAAATTGTGTTTAGGCCATGAAGCACAGGGTCTGGGACATGGAAACAGGCCCCCAGTGTGTCTAGTATTGACTGATAAAGTGCCTATAGATTCCTTGACAGAATCAGAATGAATGTGCAATGAATTTAATACATGAAAATAAAAATCACGGTTCACCAGCAGGATCAGCCGTTTATTCTAGCAGGAGTCGAGCGGCACACTGCAGCCAGGAACTGAGCAGGTTGTGGTAGGGAGGGAGGAGGGGGAAGGGTTCCCTCCCAGTGTGGCTGTACTCAGTTAGGGTCACGGCATTGTCAGACAGTGCCGTCACACCAGACGGCTCAGCCAAATACTTTCTTTCCTACGTTACACGCACCGCATTCTTCATCTCTCAGGGGTTCGAAAGCAGGCTAAATTGCTCGTTTCAGCTGCTGCACACGAGGCACACACTCTCTCTTCAGCTGGAGAACGCTGTTCACGCAGCGCACCAACTTTAAAGTGACACCTGCTAATGAGAACAGCCATCTTTCTTTTCCCCATCTGTTAAACAAAACAAAAGAATCATGCGCATCTGTCACGACAAAGTCCTGCTTCTAATGAGGGACCGATATGCAGAAATATGTCAGCAACAACCAGTTCTCAATTAACGGGATCATTTAAACAAAAAAATACCTCAGCGGAGGCACTCATGCTAAAAAAATGTCAACATAAAAACCACATCAGTGATACTACTAGGAAAAATGTAAGATGCCCCATATCTTTGCTTATTAAAAACAGATCATTTTCCCTCAAGAATAAATAAGTCAGCCACCCTTCCCCTTTATTGTTAATTCCAGATACCTAACATGACAGTAAACAAACTATAAGCCAACAAAGTCACAAAACAATCACAAGAAAGGATTCACAGTTGGGTGAAAAAGTCCCTTTTGTCCACAGTTTTAACAGACAGGGAGGCAAATGCTCTTTTAGAACGAACCGGACGAAATCACAACAGTTGCCCTTCCTAGCCTTCCTTGTTTACTAGCCTTAGTGCTATTACAGGTGCAGTTCGTGACAGCTCAGGGACAGTCAATCAGTGACTGTCCTTCTCCCATCTCACAGTCCAAGTCACGATCCACATCATCATATCCATTATATCTGAAGAATTCCTGGGTTCTCTTCGGCGTTGGTCAGCACTTCAAAATGACCTTGAAACCCATTTACAGAATGACAAGAATTACTGACGACTGCACAATATTGCCTTGTCTGTCAAATACACTCTCCGTCTCGCGTTCCTCTTTCAAATGAAAATGCACAACGGCTTAGTAAATCGACGTTCTTTTTCCCCAAAGTTTCTAAAATTACAGGCTCCGTTTTCAGCCTGGTTTAAATTAGTGCCTTCTTTTCTGTTCGCTTTTCTTTCACAGCGAAAGAATGACAGTAGCTGTCGGCTCGGAGGGTTCGGCACTAATTACACAGCAGTGCTCGCAGACGTACAGGAATTTCCTTCAGTGACTATTTTTGTTTTCACAGTGCAGCAACAAAAAGGCTGCTTTCCCCCCTCTCTGTCTCCTGTAGTTAAAATCCAGAGTAACGAGCCCAGCTTTCTGGAAGAGGAGAGGAAAAAACTCCACTTCCTCAGGGCCAAAACAGAAAGACCATAAAGCTGAGCCAATTCCTAGTGACTAACACCAGTACTTTTGAAGATATTATACAGGAATTTTGACCTTTTCTTTCTCTAAAGATGTAATAAAAAAGATAAATTGGTGGGAAGGATTTCTGGCATGTTCTTTATGCTAGTGAAAACAGCGTCTTTCAGACAGCTGCTGAAATATGCTGTCATAAAAGAGGTAAATTTGTGAAAAAGTCTCACTCATCCAATTTACATCGTTTTTCATAACACAAGAATTTTAGATTCAGTGCATAACATCCCGAAAACAAGAATGTAACATTCCTCTTCTTCCAACATTCCTGACAGGGCAGTTTTTGTTTCTGAGGAATTACTCCCCCCTGGGACCGTGATTAGTTCTTCAATCCCTCACTCAGATCTCCAGAGTGGCACGCCGTCCGGACTGAATGGAACTGGCGCCCCTAGGCCACCCCCTCTTACAACAGGGGTACCCCTCTCAGTCTGCGGATGGCGTTGGCCAGTCGCTTGGCCAGCCCCCCGCTGGGCTCCTCCACTTGGAAGCTGCGGGTCAGCAGATTGTACAGGGAGCCGTAGCCCACGGCGACCACGGTGCAGGTCAGGCAGATGACATTGTAGGGCATACTGAAGTCTGGGGTGGGCAGGTTCACCAGCAGGGGCTCGGTGTACACCCGTATGAAGTAGCTCGATTCCTCCATGCACGGGAAGCTGGAGAAGGGGCAAAGACAAGTGTCAGCCAGCTTGGCACGGCCCAGTGCCGAGGAAGCTGTTGCCTGGCTGCCCTCAATATAATCTACAATACTGCTAACAAAACCTCTCCCGTTTTAAACCCGTTTCTGTGGGCTCAGCCAGTGAGGAGGGTGTCTATAGCAAATTACAACAAACCTTAAACTCCTCCATCATCATTCACTTCCTTTTTTACACTAAAGAAGCAGAACCAAAAATGAAAAAATGACAGTGAGAAACGACTCGAGTAGTTTCTTGATCAGGTCTGGTCATTTGGGTTTTGCAGAAAAGAGAGAATACAACCTTTCTTGCGAAGCATAGATGTTGAAAATGTCAGCAGCCATCAGCATAAAGAATCAGTTATCCATGATTTTTACCATACCTTGTAAACTTTGTAACGTAAGAGGTTAAAATACTTTTGAATCCCCTCAGGATTTAAACCTCTAAGTACAAGATGCATACATTTTCAGTCACAAGTGTGTCGGATTGAATCTCATAACTGGATAGATCTTTAGAAAGGTCATCACATTACTGCTCATCGCAGATACCACTTTGTTATGAGGGAATGTCACTCGCTGAATGTCAGGATCTCAATATAGGTCACCCTACTGGCTGTTCTGAGTGACAGTTAGAAAGTAGGCCTGTTACAATCTCACAGTGTTGCTACAATGCCACTGTGAACATATCTAAAAGCCGTGTTAATCGCTATGACGACGTCGCTGTAACCTCCTCCCGGAGTGCACAAGCGCCCTTAGGCATCAGCCTCTATACTCACAAGCTGGTGAAAAGGGGGCGGTCCTTCGTCCTGTTGGTGTCCATGGCAACGACACTTGGCACAAGGGCACTAAGAACAGATGAACTAGAACACAAGAGAAAGGATCCGTCAGTACAATTACTGTCCCGAGAAAGAAGATGGAGTCGACTCTGCGCAGACTTGCTTTATGACCGCCCAATGGATCAGGGTTAATCCAGCTGCGGTAAACAACCTGAACAACCTCCTTGTGCCGCAACAGCTTTCCGCGTCCTCTCGCTACCCCACCGAAAACGAAGCACAAATTCGTGGGCGAAAGGAAGAGGCCCGGTCTCACTGCCTCTGCCTCTTCACCTGTCCGGTCCAGCTCGCCTCACTGCACCAAAACGCCGCTGCAAGCCTCACCCAACATAGAAGCCGTGGTTGGGGTCAGGGGTGTACTCCGTCCACTTCAGCAGGGCCCTCTCAAACTGCACGGTAACCTTGGTGACGGAGTTGGGAGGAAGCTGCACTAACATTTCCAGCAGATGGGGGCGCTGACGGTCCTTCGATGGCTGGTAGTGGATATAGCCTGATCAAAAAGATACTCTGTGACAAACTGTTTTCCATTTACATATCTGATCTTTATCACCTTGCACACCACACACGCCTGCGATGTTTAGAATTCGGCACTTTTAAGACAAACGCATGGTTATGAAAAGCATAAAAAATTATAAAGGAACAAGTAATAGGTTTATTCCATGCTGAAAAGAGAAGAGAGAAAACACAACGTTTCGGCTGTGAAGCCTTCTTCAGGTGTGTGAAGTAGCTTCTTCACACACCTGAAGAAAACTTCACAGCCGAAACATTGTTTCTCTTTTCAGCATGGAATAAACCTATTACTTGTTCCTTTGCAGACTACGCATTCTGACGCAGCTACCCATCTAAAAAATGATAAAGTTTGGTAAACAAAAACAATGAAAGGACATGCGAAAAGTGAAATCAACTCCACCTAGTGGTAAATGAGTGCATGCCAATGGAAAACAAAACAATTGGATCTTGTTTAATTACTTTGAATAAGTGCACATTATTATTGGAGAGTGATGCTTAGTTAAGGGTGGTATTTACTGTAGCTGAAGGCTGCAGCCCATATTTAAAGCTTAGTCAATATTTGTTACAAAAAAAGCCTATGCGTCGTTTCAATGCTGCTGGTAACTCGTCTTCTATAAATATAAGAGTCAATAATATATTTTAATAATATATTTCAATAGTTGATGAGAATAATCCAACTATAACAGCATCATGTTGGCCAGTCTGTCCACCAGAAATGAAACGTAAAAAAACAGCTTTTAAGTAGCCTGTTTGCTTTTTTATGTTTTGTATAAAAGATGTGAAACACGTCATATGATATTGATAAGACTTATATAACATATCAATATAATTACTAATAACAATAAATGGGTGCAGCAGACAGCCTTGTCTTTTCACAGTGCTGGAGCCCTGGGTTTAATTCCAGACCCTGTTGGTGTCCGTGAGGAGTTTATATGTTCCACATGTGTTTGTGTGGACGTCCTCCCAAAAGAAAATACTGCTGGGAGGTTAACGGGCTTGGGAAAATTGGCGCTGGTGCGAGCGTGTGTCTGTGTGTATGGCCTGGCGTTCAGTTCAGGGTATACCCCCGCCCTGAGCACATTGCTTGATGGGGTAGTGTCACCCGCGACCCTGTACTGGATGAAGCAGTGAGAAAACGGATGGCTGGATATTTAGAAATACTCCCAGCGGAGCCCGAGGCCCGAGGCTCTTCCCTGCAGTGAGACAGCCAGTGAGCTGCGAGTCTCTGTGACACAAAGCCCTGCGTGTGTTGCTTCCTCACTGTCTCATTGCTCTTCCAGCTAACGAGTGCCCTGCCGTTACTAAACTAACACACGCAAATGGGAATGATTATCTTGGCCACACCTTTTCCATTTATAAAAGGGTGACCCGTCATTTCAAGAAGGAACGACAGCGTTCAGTCGCGGGTCAACTCAAAGCAACACAGAGATTGAAAGACCCTGTTGCAATAAGGAAAAGTTAAAGCCCCAATTCGGGAGCTCGATCCGGTTTCTCCTGCGTGTGGGGGGGGGGGGGTCGGGACGGCGGCGGGGGACGGGCGAGACTCACTGGGCGTGTTCTCCCGGCCCTTGCTGGTGACGGACAGGGTGTGGACGTATAGGCGCAGGTACCAGGGCACCGTCTCCAGCAGCAGCGCGGGGAAGGCGCGGAACGGGTGGCTGTTGTAGACGAGGGTGTGAATCTCGCCCGTCTGCAGCCCGTAGCCGCCCACGTAGCGCTCCGCGTGGAGCAGAGGCCGCAGGAAGTGCCCTGGAAGAAATACCGCCCGGTGAGAAAGGCTGCATCTCTTCATCAGTATCTTTTCTGTGTGTTGAGATCTTACCAGCGCATTGAAGAACTTTTAACATGGCATCCTCTGATTTCAGCTCTACAGCTTTGCCTGTACATCCCAATGCTGTCTGCACTTTTTGATGCTTCTCTAAGTACTAACAGATTAAAACTGTATCAACATCAAAATCCTTTCCACAGCCAGATTACGCATCTTTTAATGATAGAGTACGTTTCTGCTACCTACAAGTAACACTCTGCTAGTCTGCATTAAATCCGTCATGTTTTCTCAATCTTGTACTCTGGCCAATTCCTTTTGAACATCCACTTTAGTTTTTTTACTAATCCTCCTGCTTGGGTATCATTTGTGAATGTGTAACTTAATTGACTGACTACGCCAAAATCCAGTTCACTGATTTAAATGAAGATGAATGGTGTTGTAATACTCATCCCTGTGGCATTTCACTCATGTTGCCACCCTGGAAAATACGAAGGGGACGTTCAGAAAGCTCTTTAAAAAGGGCAGAAGCTCCACTCCGTGTGCCACCACAGCCTGAAGGACTCCCGTTTCGAAACTAATTCATCAGTCTTAACCTTAGACAAGGAAGTCTGGTCTGCCCAGAAAATCCAGTTACGAACACAGAACGGTCTGTTCATTCACATTACCAAAACATTTTTCCTCATGCCCACTGCGTACACAGCGATGCCAAGAACAGCTTGTCAGCATCAGGTGTTTGGCCACCCTGCTGTCTGACAGAGAGCTCTCACCACTGTCCTGGGACTTCCACTTGAGGAGGATGTTGAGAGAGCGGTGGGTGCCAAAGGATTCGGGGTTCAGGAGGTCGTAGACGGTGTAGTTCCTGCGGTCCCCCAACACCGCAGCCTGCGTCAGCGAGGGGGAGGCCGGGTTGAGCTCAAAGAGCTCCCCCTGCAGGACAGGATGAAAAGAGCTCTTGAACTGAACCGTTGCGCACAGATCCCAGTGACTGACTGACCGAGGTGCCGAGGTGTTGTCTCACCTGGGTGTTGTCCGTGACGTCAACATACACTTTGCTGGAGGAGGCCAGCGGACAGGGCTCGGTCAGGGTGCGAGAGAACATCTTGAACAGGGACCACTCTGCAGGGAAGAAGGAGAACGTCAACCAGCAGTGCCAACCCCCAAAGCGATCTCCCCTAACCCCTTCCAGCATGAACAAGAATAGCTCTGGTCACACTGGTGTGTACAAGAAACTAATATGAGTACACACATATATAAACAGTTGCTTTTTTAAATCGCAAAGCGTGACACACATTTCTATGCGACTCTTCTCGAAGCCCCCCCCCGGCCAGCTGCGCCCCGTTCCTCACCTCTCTTGCCCTGCCCAGAGGCGTGCAAGTCGAACACCACGCTCAGGGTCTGCCGCAGTTCCCACGCCGTGCTCCGGCACGCTCCGTCCTGAAACAGGCAGAGCTGAGGGACTCACTCGGCACTCCGAGACGGAGCACGGTTACAGCCCGCTGGCACCAGGGCGGTCCCCGAGAAACAACGCTCATCGACAAGCCACCGGCAGCAAAGAGATTCAGAACTTCAAGGGGCTTCCACCACAACACTCTACTCAAACGTAAAATGCATCACTGTGATTTTTTTTTTATTTGATCTTTTATGGCTAAGGTAATGATACTAACTGTTCCAGATTATCTGGCACTGAACTCTAACTCTCACCATAACTGCCTAAATGTAATCTTTGACACTAAGGGTGAATATTCCACCACTTGTTCTCTCTGTAACATCAGCCGGATACACACTGCCTGCCACATCTGCATAAAGCTTTATACACAGCTGGTAATCTACAGCAGTTGTGTCTGTGAAGTGTATTCTGTTCCCCTCTCTATGGCACAGGTAGCTCGAGCTCCTCAATTTCTCCACCACCTCTTTATTCTTGTACATTATATAGCATGGAAACCAAAGAAAACACAACTAATTCAAAAAATACGCAGCAGATTATATATAAAAACATCAGTAGGCATTAATAACCTCCTCAAAGACTTTTTCTAATTCTATTTTTCTCATTTTTTTTTAAATCCATGTTTTGAATCTGAAATAATTATGAATATATATTGGTCTATTTTGCTCTTTTGTGATAAATCATATCTTAGTTCCATTATATTGTTGACACACCACCTATTAAGCAGAATCCGCACGCTGTGCAGCGAAGGTCGATGAAATTGCCTTGCAGAGCAGATCTTTTTGGCGATGGTATTGTATGAAGGACTGCCGAGGATGCTGAGCCGCCTGACCTTTGACCTTCTCTTCTGCGGACTGCAGCAGCGACGGGTGTCAGACGCTCGCACAATACGCGCCCCAAAACAACATGGCTTAGATCCGACTTTACCTGGCACACAGGGCGGATGTGGACGGCCTGCGAGTGGAAGCTGGTGTGGAAAAGCTTCTCGGACTTCAGCAGCATGGCAATGCCAGTCTGGGGGCAGAGGCAGGGGAAATTACGCTTGTGTGCAAGATCTGAGCTTTCTACAAGGCAGGGCATCACCCCTGTTTATAGCATCCTTATAAAACAGTAATTGAGGAAACATATCTGACACAATGCCAATTAAATGTCATCCCAGGGACGTTGTGCACTGCTCTTAAAGGCATTATTCTTAGTCCTTAAATAAGTCTAGGACAGGGGGAGTCGATGCAAATCAAATCAAGTCCCTGCACAAACAAGCCTTAACTAGCACGGTTTCCAAATCTTCATGACTTACAAAAAGAAGCTGATTTTGGAAGCTGGAGTGAATTACCATTGTGGGCATAGCTGATTAAGACTTTATTAACTGATGAGAGTAACTTACTGCGTGACTCCACATTCACACCAATATTTAAACTGGTTTATGCTAACATTTACAGAAAATCGATAGAATAAGCATGCTTTTTTTTTGCATTGATGACAAAGATGAAGAGATTTTCAACTTATTTCATTCACTTCAGAAAACAAATACCAAGTCGTGCTCTGGTGTATTCATATTTCATATTTAAAGGATTTTTTTCAGTGCCTCCTTACCTTAGAACCACAAGGCAGCAGCTTTTTCCATGGGGTGAGGTTCTCCGTGCACACAATCTCCCGCGGCAACACAGCGTAACGCAGGAACCGGTGCTCAGTCACTGAACACACAGAGCAGACCATCAGCACAAACAGCAGATGCTCTACAATTTCTGTATCTGCTGATCAGGCACTGCACACACAGCAGACACTCTAAAACTTCTACTCCTGCTGAAAATCTGAGGCAGATAATTTCACAAGCCTCTATTTCAGTCAAGGTATGTGCTTAATGGTCAGATGTGGAAGGCACAAGAAGCTCACTCAGTTAGGATGATGTGTCTTACCATTTTACGAGGCAAAAATATACATATAATGGTCCTCTTCTACAACAAGGGCATCTATCAAACCCAGGTGCAAAACAATTGTGAAAACTACCCTATATATGACTCACCGTTCCCGATTCCCAGAGGTTTGAAGGAGGCACTTGGCTGGACTGTGTTGGTGGAGTCAATAAAATTGAGGGAGGCGCAGAAGATCCCTGACAGTACATTAGTCAGCTCCTTCCAGGCCCTGTCCACACTGTAACACAGCAATCCCAAGCTCAGTTACTGAACAGCCCTGTCCAGGCAGCACATGTGCACGAATGCCTTTGTTGTGACCGACTGGACTGACCCTTTCATTCTTTTAAGGCTGTCGACTCTTGACGGCAGGCAGTGTTCAATTTCCCCTATTGTGCCACACCGACACCGAATCAAAAAATGGAACCTTCCCTAACCCTAACCCTAACCCTAACCCCCCCCCAACTTAACATGCGGTTGAAAATGATCAAAATAGTTTGAAAGATTGTTTTTTATGTGGCACTGACGTAGACTGCCTAGTCATTATTATTTAGGTTTCCAGATTTTGGCACATTCTTCCAAGCACTAACACTTAACGAAAATGTCTATATTGTGTGTTGCCCTGGATGAGGCAGATCTATAGGCAAATGAATAACAAAATGGAATGAAGGAGTTTGTGATCGTTGTTCATCCCATTCTCAGGACAGTGGGGCGTGAGGGCTGATCAAACCAAGAACAGCGAGAGAGGAGGTGCTCACTCCGAAACGCTGTCCTGGAACCAGACCCAAAGCTCGGCACCAGGGGGCGCTGGCAGGAACGGCTGTCCCCACTGCAGGGTCCTCCAGTAGCCCTGGGTGAAGGAGATGTGCAGCTCGCGCACGGAGAACTTGGAGATGACCTGGCCCAGGGACTTAGGGAACAGCCTGTAGTGAGACACTGAAGTCAGAAGGAAGAGCAAATGTCAGGCTCAACTTAAACTATCGACTGAAAAACATTGACTCTAGTGTAGTGCTTTTACGAGCCTAGACTGCATTATCCATTCATCCACTTTCTTACTGCTTTATTCAGTACAAGGATGCCAGCAAGCAACAGGCACAAAGTGGGATACACCCTGGATGGGATGCCAGTCCATCACTGAGCTGACACAAACACAGACACGCACACATTCACACCAGGACAGTTTTCCCAGAAGTCAATTAACCCACCAGCATGTCTTTGGACTATGGAAGTAAACTGGAGCCCCCAGAGAAAACCCAGGTGAACATCCAAACTCCACACAGACAGAAACCCAGGAATTGGACCCAGGGCCCCAGCAGTGCGAGGCAGCAATGCTAATCATTGTGCCACCTTACACTGCATTTCTATCTAATCGCAATTTTCTAAACTGAAGTCTGGGACCCGAAGGCTCAATCGTAAAATAAGTCTGACTCCCTTTAGAATGCAGAACGGGAGTCATGTTTAAAATAAGAGATGCTGATTTTTGGAACAGCACCGCTAAGCCATGTTGTGAATGGTACAGTATGTCCCCGGAAGTACTGGGAATCTTAAATGAATGTGAGGGCAAGCTTTTTCTCGGCAGCAACCGTTTTATGTGCTGCAAACATTACTAAGGAATTCATGGAGTGATCTGCAATTACGAAGTGTGATAAGAATAACCTATGTTTTGTTTTTAGTTAATTATAGGGAGTTAATAAATATCAGTGGCGCACTAAATTGATTTGTTCCTCTTACCCTTTTTCCCCTGATGGAAGAAGTCTGTATCCCACCGGGTGCGAAACTGGAAGCTGGAGTAAACATCTCCGGTTGGTAAAGGTCTGATCACCAGCTCCTCCTGAAACTCATCTCGTGTCCGTTCAGGTTCGGTCTTCGGCGGCACCGAACTGTCCGCCGTGTCAGGGGGCCCATCTTCGTTCTCTGGGGGTTCGGTTCGGTCTAATCTAACTTCAGAGGGCTCCCACTGACTCTCCGATTCGGTGCGGGGAGACGTCTCCGGCTGCCTTTCTTCAACATGATCATTCTTGTCCAGTTGCGATGCAATGGTATCAGCGGAATCCTTAAGCAACTCGGAGCTTCTTCCTGTTTGTGCCCGGTCCGGTTCTGCTGCAGAGACCACATAACCACCTACGATCACCACTGCCAACAATACCACACTGCACCTGCAAGCTGCCATTTTCCCCTTCCAGACAACTTCCGTGCTTCTGACGAGGCCAGAATTAGCCAATCAGATTTCAAGTGAGTTGTTCTGGTACCATAGATATAAAATGGCGAGAGATTCTCTCTTGAAGGTTCTAAAGCGGACGCCATCTTTCTGCAGTCACAGAGTGCCTATATAGAATCAAGATTATTTGCTTAGGTATCTCATGCATAAGCAGAGCTGGCTATAGAGAGGTATAGAAGACATATTTCAAAATCTGAATACAATACATGATATACATAAACTGTAGAAACCACATACTGAAATCACCCCTCACTGTAGTCCACTTTCAATCAATGAAGCAGTACAAGCACTATCAGTGGACTGTAGTAATAAATAAACAATGAATGTGTAATCAATACTGTTTAATAAGCACACTCTGCTTTATAGTTTACATAATTTGAATGAATTTACCTGATTAGTGACACACAGGGACACTTCATAATCAGAAATCTCTCGGTCAATATGTATTCAAAACCAAGGGCGTGTTAAAACACTTATTTTATTTCAGTTTCATTTAGAGCACATTAGGAACAGAAATTCGTATATTTTCATTAATTACCCTGTATCACATTTTTGATTTGAGAATAAAAATATATATTTGTTTTCTACTAGTTTTGTTGATATAGGGCCATCTTTGGCCTCAGTAAAATATTTTCAAGATTGTAAGAACCGTAAATCAATGTTTACATCCTAAAAACATGGTAAGAATAAACATATATTTTTCAATTAGAAAATAAAAAATGCTGCTATAGTCCACACTGTGGCATATCCTCTAATATACAGTAATATACTGTAATAATATCATAAGGAACAAGTAAAGGTTTATTCCATGCTAAAAAGAGAGGAAAAGAAACACAACGTTTCAGCTGTGGAGCCCACACCCAAAGAAGGCTCCACAGCCAAAACATTGTGTTTGCTCTGTTTTCGCGTGGAATAAACCTTTACTTGTTCCTTTGCAGCCTACACATGTTGACGCGGCTCCCTACTTGAACTACTGTAATAGTATCACAGCTAGATTCCAGGGTGGCATGTTAGTTCAATTCCTGGGGTGCTATCCGTGTGGAAGTTTGTATTTTCTCCCCATATTTGCACGGGCTTTCTCCCACAGTTCCAGACATACTACCAGACATACTGGTAGGTTAATTGGCTTTTGGGAAAACAGGCCCTGGTGTGAGTGTGTGCACGTCTGAGTTCTGTCTGTCCAGTCCAGGGTGTACCCTGCCTTGTGCCTGTTGCTGGCTGGGATAGGCTCCAGCTCCCCTGCCACCCTGTAGTTGAAAAAGTGGTTAGAAAATGAATGGATGTGCAGAATCCTGTCATGGACTTTTTGTTTCATTTTCACAGAAATTTGGATAACTAATATTAAGGCAGACTCTCAGTGATGTGCAATAGTTAATCTGGCCCTAAACATCCTTATTTCTACTATTTACAAGAGGCACTAATTAACAGATTAACTCATTGTGCTACATGAAGAATTATGTTATCAAAAGTCCTAAAGAGCAATTGAGGCAACAAACATGGATGGACAGCATTTGTTTTCTATCTTTAATTTCCATGTCAATTTCAGTGCTGTTTGTCTAATGATCTATATTCAACAAACATTTGTTACCAGTCTTAAATTTTTAAAGTTTTTCTAAACTGCTGCTTTCAAATCAGTGTGACCCAGTGTGTGTGTGTGAATAGTTTTCATCCACATTCCTTTTTTATTGTTTCACTACAGAGCTCTGTGTGTGGCTGCCCACACAGTCTGAAGGGTGCAGTAGGGTCACTGATTCAGCATGGATTATCTATGTCCTGTTTGAGCGTGTACTTCAATATCCCTGGAACTCCTTTCAGAAAAAAAGGGCGGCTTTATTTTGTGGCTGTGTTAAAATATTCCCTGCTGTCCGTAGAAAGTACAGTGTAACAAATGCAATAAAAGATCACATTACGAGATGAAGCTCTTAGGAGTTTAGCCAGAAAATCAATTTCACTGACCTGCTAGTACAATATTTAATAGGAAGCTTTTCAATGAAGTGTGTTTTGCCACTGGAGAATGGTTTAAATGTCATAGGAGATGCATGTACAAGATCTGTCTTTTAATCACATTCCACAGTTCTGGCTGGAACACTGGACTATGAGAAACAGACTTCAAAGAGGTCAAAAACACCTTAAAGATGCATTGATATTGATATTGATATTGAAACAAAAAAAAATCTAATCTTATTTACCCAGTAAAAAATAAGAGTGTAGTTTGTACACTAGACACACAGATAATGAACAGCTATAGCATAGTGGACTGGGTAACCCTAAACTATGAGAATCATTAGAAAGAGCCCCAGTCTCCCCAGAATTTAAACTGAGGAGGGCTGAGACCATTTTTGATGGTGACTGAAAATGAGAGGATCAAGGAATTTCTAGAGCTAGAAGCAAGCACGTTAAAACTAGGGCATGGGAAATACATCCAACATGATCAATGGAACAGAGCCTTTTTTTACTTCATCAGTGAAAACAGCAAATCACTACTGCTGCGGAGTCCGAACCACTTGGACAGACGATCTCCAGCCTGGGACTCTGCTCCAGCACCCTGAGTGATCCCATAGACTGATGAGGTTCTGGCTGCACTCAGTGGACCGCCGGGTCCTGTGATTGAACACAGTCAGTGTTCTCAGAACCTTTTAGAACTGCATGTTTCTGTTACAGCATGTAGACTACTTATCACATCACATCATAGAGGCTCACAGACTACTAGTCATTGGGAGGGATGTCCATTTATTTAGCTAGTTAAGAGACATCTTTCCCACTCTCTGTGGTATTCTCGGGTTATCGTGCTTCACTAACACCTTATCACACAGCTGATATCTCTGAATTTCGTCGTGTTAGGTATCTGACTTTTATTTCTCCTACGGAGATTCAGCACAGCTCATATAGATTTTATTGTACCGACGTCTTCATTTTTTAATTATTATTTATTGGACACGTGGCCATTAGAAGAAATGCTGAGGGGGCATTCAGTTTTTCTGCCGATCTCGTCAGTTTGCGTTGTACACGGACGGGGGAAGGAGACTTCCTCATGAACCACCCCCCCCCGCGCCCTTACCCAATATTTCTCCGCTCGACAGTAACTCTGCACCTCCCCCGCCCCCGTTAAATGTACTTATTTTATGTGCTTCTTTTTTATGCCCTTTGAATCCTTCAGTCGATCGATCTGTCTCCCGCTCCACGCTCTGCTTGGTACCGCCATCCCCTTCCCCCTGCCAAATGTCTTCATTTTCCAAGCCTCCTCTTTCCGCCGGTCGACCCCGCCCCCCGCCTCTCTCTGTTGGCTCAGCGCAGAGGATGATGGTAGAATCTTCGGGCAGATGCTGTATGATCGGCAGCACACTGAACCAATTTTAGAATTAGACGCTATACTGGAATTAAGGATCCTCACATATCAGAGACTCTATTTTCGGATCTCGGTGGTGGTGGGTTCTTTTTTTTCCCCTCCTTTGCAACGTCATAATGGAACACACCTGGAGTTCCAGAAACGGATTTAGGCGTGATCTAACAGTTCATATGGGGGGCACGCACATATAGATAGTATTATACGTTTTTTTTTTTTTGCACAAGGAAAAAAAATATACAAAGGAACCAGTGTACATACTCGCAGTCATTCATACAGCCATTACCCCCCTTTTTTCATCACACACACACACACACTCCAAGGATCTCTCTTCACCCGTGGCTTCATAGATGCTCGAAGCTGCTATTGTCACACCAAATTAAATCCGTGCTAGCGCTGCTTGGTGGTGACCTTGGCTTCCTCTGTGAGGGTTTTCAATATTTTATTCTCTATTCTTCTGCTATCTCCATGGCTACGTCCGATGGAATAGACAGTTGTCTGCTGCAGCGGGGAAGATCTCAAAGTGACCCGAACATCCTCGCCGAATCCAGCATCGATCACGCGCACGGCACAGGTAAGCGGAGCTCGCTGGCATGCGTTTCTGACGGAGAGAATAGCTCCGTTGAGGGGGTGGTAGATGTCGTTTCTCGGCTGAAATCTAACGCGGTTTCCTCTTTGACTTTGTGTTGGCTTATTTTCGGGGGAAATAACGTTCCTCCGTACCAGTCGTGCTCTATCCCCACCGATTATGCTGGGCTGGGGACTAACGCGGGCGACCGCACTGGCAAATTAATGCCCTTTATGGTTTATTCTTCCCGTTGATCAGCTGCAGAGTGAATAGAGTGAGGGCTTGAATCCTCTTGACCATGCATAAGCCGTGTTTCTTCTTTAAATTAAATTAATTTTATATGTTAATAAAAAAAACGGAATAATTTCTTTCTTTGCAATATTTTAATGACTTCTGGCGTTGGAGGTGTTGCTTAATTGACTACCCTGTAGTAAGGCGCCCTAGCTGTAAAGATACTCTACAAAGCGGTTCTTATCTGCATTAATATGCTCCCTGTAGCGTGCTGATTGAAAGGCTTTTCTAACATGCATAACCGACGGAGCTTTCAGGAGAGTGGAATACATTTTCACGAGGGTCCGTTCAATCACAACACGGGATTGCCTAGAAATAGCTAATTGCAAAGCTCAGCAAAATGACTCAAAACCGGCCTGCCGTTTCTCCCCTCTCCCCACGGTTTTGCAACGTTACCCTATCAAAGCAATTCGTGCGGTATACTGTACCTGCACTGGAAAATCAGACAGGAAAAAATGAAAATAGCGATCGCCAGCGGGCCTAACCATGACTGCCTTGTGACTTTTCCGGTGATAGGAAAGGGATTTTTCAGGTCCCTTTCATTTCTCATGCAAATCTTTAAGAAGCTTTTCTTAGCCTGTATGTGTTTGTGCGAGAGTGTGAGAGACCACGGTATCCCTGCACAGTATAACGGGTAGGTGACAGGACTGTATGTGAAGAGGCGGCCCTACAATATAAAATAAACGAGAACTTTCTTTCGTATGCCTTTGTTTTCCATTCCTCTGTGTGTGGGGAAAGGGCACTTGAATTTCCTTCATAACAAATCA